TGTTTGTCTGATTCCAATGTCTACTTAGAACAATTCCTCTGGGCTGTCATAATGCTAAGCAAATACTAAGCATAAAAGCAGAACGGAAATGAGAGTACAGCACACTCTTTAACCCTTTCCTGTACTTACACATTTGTACCAGGGCCTTGTGGCACATGGCGGAAAACTCTGGACTAGGTGGGCAGGAAGTCAAAGTGCAAACTCTGCGGTCACCACGGCTTTTTTCTCAGCTTGGGTAATATGACTTCCAGTTCTACTACTCTGTGTTGCCACTATTCAGAAGCTAGGGGAAAACAGCCAGCTGTGTACACTGCCACCCACCAATACACAAAGGAAGATAAGCATATGATTAATACACTGATTGTTAGAAGAGTAGGTAAAAGGTGGCAGTGTTTTCAATTTCAATATTATTCAGTTCAGTAAAATTACGGTTTTAGCATATTTTAAGGAGCAGAGAAAGCATGTCTATATTTTGTATCATTCCAACTTTTAGGATATACTGAGATATTTTGCCCCATTCATCCACTTATCTAAGTAGTCATTCTGTCCACAAAAATCCTATAGTGCACATGAGGCACATTTAACATTGGTTGAGCAAACTAGGTGAAGGAAGACCCTGATAAAAGGTAAAAAAGAAAAGCAGATGTGATGGTGGACACCTGTAATACCAGCTACTTAGAAAGCTGAAGGAGGAGGACTGCAAGTTTGGTCTGAGCAATTTAGTGAAACCCAGTCTTAATATAAAGAATAAAAAGGACTGGGGTGTAGTTCAATGGTGAAGTGCCCCTAAGATGTATCTCCAGTATGGCAAAAACAAGCAAAAAGCAAAACACAGCAGAAAAACAAACAGTGAAAGAGGATTTTTTTTTTTTTTGAGACAGGGTCTCACTATGTAGTTAAGACTGCCCTGGAACTCACTGTGTAGCCCAGGCTGGTCTCAAACTCACAGATATCTTCCTGCCTCAGCCTCCTGAGTGCTGGGATTACAGGTGTACACCACCATGCCCTGCTAAAAGAGGACTTTTTTTTTAGAATTTATATTTGGACTTTTGTCCACTCTATAATAATCTTTCAAAGTATTATTGTCCTCTCCCTTTTTTTTCTTTTTACATTATAAATAAAACCTGAAGCAGTTAGATCATTTGCCCAATGTGGCTCATTTAGTAAAGTAGTGAGCCCAGTTTTCAAATCTAGGTCTGCTGGATTTATTATCTCAGCACATGGGATCCTGGGACAGTAATCCTTGCTTAGATGGGACACAGGACAATGTTTGTGCTGAACCAACTACTCTGAAAGGCACCAGGGAAGAGAGAACAGTGGTCTAAATAGGTGTCAGCAAACTTTCTGTGAAGGACCAGATTGTATATATGTTAACTTTGTGGACTGTTACAGTGTCTGTAACAACTACACAACTCTGCCCTTGCAGCAATGACAGCAGCCACAGACAATACACAAACGAATAAGTATGGTTGTGTTCAAAAGGGCTTTATTTATGGACGCTGAAATCTGAATTTCACACATTTTTTGCAATTGTTGCAAAATATTTCCTCATTTTTTTTCAATGATTAGAAAATGTAAAAACCATTCTTAACTCTATGGCTGTTCAGAAACTGGTTGCAGGCTGGATGTGGCCCATGGGCTATAGTTTGGTAACCCCTGATCTATGATCCAGACCAATGCTGTCCAGTTGGACTTCCTGGAATGATGGAAATTTCTGATATGTACTGTCCAACAGAGTAGCCTTTAGCTACCTATAACCAGTAAGCAATTGAAATATGACCAGAGCAACTAAAGAACTAAAATTTTGTTTTAATTTTTTTTTTTCAGAGTGCAGAATGGTCCATGTTGCCCAGATTGGCCTTAACTCCTAGACTTAACCAATACTCCTGCCTCAGCTTCTCAAGTAGCTGGGACTACAAAGGCACACCACTTTACTTAGCTTGGAACTAAAATTTTTAACTTGCTGTCCCTTCCATTACTGTTGCCTTTATCATTTCTTTGATGATTAGTGCAGTCTCCCAAGGGACAGTTTTCCTGTCCCTTGTTTTATTCTTCCAATCCATCCTTACAAAGCTAGAGGGATTTTTCTGACATCAACTAAGCACTTCTCCAAAGTAACTTCCTGTTAGTTACTTCTGGTAACTTCCAGTAAGTTCAACCTGCTAGGATGCCATATACATCTTTAGTTAGAAAATGACAGACAGGTGAAAGACTTTTCTTGTTTGATCAGAAAAATGAAGGCTGAGTTTCTTAGGAGTAGTTCTTCATCATACTATCTCCCCCACTTCTTTTTAATCTTTTGAAGCGGCGTCTCCTTAAGTTGCCCAGGCTGGCCTTGAATACTCCTGCTTCAGCTTCCCAAGTAGCTGGCATTATGAGCATGAATCATTACATCCAGCTGTGCTCTAATGTTTTACCTTAGATGTCATGAGGAAAATTGAGCTTTGGTGATGCAAAGCTTAAAATAAGTCCCTACTCCGGTACACATCAAGCAATCAGCAAAGGTATCTACCTTGAGCCTCTCTATACTTATTTCTGTGCTAATTGGAGATGAAAAACATATCAGAGTTGTGAAGATCAACAGACGGTTAAGTAGAAATTCTTTGCACTTAATAAAAAGCTACATAGATGTTAGCTGTTGTTTTAATAAATATTGAACTTTAAAAGTTTTTAAAAAGCAATTCCAGTCTGATTTCAACTGCTATATATTCTCATTTCTAAGGCTACTCTGTGAGGCAACAATAAGTACATAAGCTTTGGATGTTTGAAGGAAAGGGTGATGCAAAGAAATGATTTGGGCCTATTATTCCAAATACTTGGAATTGTGCATTTTCCATCTTTAGGTCTAAGATCATGCTTTATTCATTCTTGTTTTTCCAGGTAATAGTTTTATCAGTAAAGATAGTGTTTTTTGTACTGAGGATATACTGAGCTGCATCCCCAACCCTTTTTATTTATTATTATTATTTTATTTATTTTGAGACAGAGTCTTGCTCAGTCGCTAAAATGCCTAGGGTTGGCCATCCTCCTTTCCTGCCTCAGGCTCCAGAGTGCTAGAATTACAGTTGATTCTTGAGAGCTAACTGAAAATGACATCGCAACAAGTCAGAAAGAAAAAGTAGTTTATTTTTAAGCATCTCCAGGAACTTTTCAAATGACTTTTTTCAATGAGTTCTAGGATTCATTATAGGAAGGGCACTGCTATTAGCTAGAAGGATAAGGAAAAAATTGTTATCAGATGGGAAAAGGAGGTAAAGGAACAATTCAGTTCACCTAGGAAGTGTTCTTCTCCCTTCTTAGGCACATCCTGGAACAGGATTTCTAAGGTTAAGTATACTTTGGTTAAGTATACTTTGATTCAACCACGTTATACTTTAAGATATCCATATGCTCCATTTCTCAGTTTTTTTTTTTTTTTTTTTTTTTTTTTTGGAAACAGGGTCTCACTATGTAGTTGAGTCTGACCTGGAACTCACTATGTAGTGGTCCAGGCTGGTCTCGAACTCCCAGCGATCCTCCTGCCTCAGGCTCACGAGTGCTGGGATTACAGGTGTGTGCCACCACGCCCGGCTCCATTTCTGAGTTCTTGATATCAGAGTGACCATTTCACTGATGATCATTGTTGATGATCACTATACGTTTTCCCCCATGAAGAGAAGCAAAGATTTAGCTTTCAACTTATGGCTTTCAAAGCACTTAATGGATGTGTTTCAGAACATTTACAGGTATATAGTGAGGAAGTGTCTATAAAACTCATTCCACTCTCCAGATTAAGACGACTCCGAGACGTCTTTACAATTTTATATAGTTAATATTTTACTCATTGTTACGTTTGTCTCACCCTGCCTCAGAAGAATTGGCATATAATAAATTACCCTAACCAACTAGTTACCGTTCCTCCTTGTTTCTTATGGTGTTCAAGTTTGCAACCGCTACTAAGCGCTCGGTAAACTTGGGTCATAGACGGGGACCATTCCTTAACCAGCCTCTCACCGGCGTGTGAATGCTGCCGCTGATCCCGGAGAGACTGTGGGACGGGACCTCAAACTACAGGGCGTCCTCGGCCCCAAACTGCGCAGCAGCACATATCCTTTCCCTCGGTGACCTCTAATTCTCATGGGTATTGTTTTTCAAGCCACTCTGCCTTCATTGGCTTTGGTATATTTCTTCAAATATTTAATTCTAAGTAGAACTTTTTATATCGTTACAGATCCTAAGAGTTGGAAGATCTTGAGCAAGAGAAAACAAGGGCTGGCAAAGGAGACACCAGTAATTAAGGTGGGGAAACCTGGCCTCTAGGCTGACAGCCATGGCTGAGGTGGGAGGGGGATTGGCAGCGGGGGACCCCACGTGACCTCTGGGACCCGGGGCACCGCCGACCCCGCCCCTCTGCCCGCCGCCGGGGGCGCATGCGCAGCCCGTATTAGTGATGGAGGAGAGAAGATGGCGGAAGAGGAGTGAGTGACTTGCTGGTGACTGATGTCGTAACCGGGGGTGGGGGTGGGGGGCGAGTGGGGCAGCGACACGTCCCCCAGGGGTTGAGCTCAGGGCTCTTTAGCAGGCAGTGCAGGAAAAGGGAGACCCGAGAGTCATCTTATACTGGAGGAGACCGCTTGGCCCTGGTCTGGGACCGATGCGAGCTAGAAGGGTCCAGTTATCCTCCTAGCGGGAGCTGCCCTTCCGCTGTCAGGTCCGGGATTGGCAGGGCCTTGAGCGAGTGGTAACCTCTGTGACCCCGGCCGTTGGGGTTCTTGCGGGAAACCTGGTCCGGTGAGCTCC